AGCCCTGCGGATAGTGGAGCTCGGGGCATGCAGCCGTGCCGCGTCTCCACACGCAGCCCTGCGGATAGTGGAGCTCCGGGCATGCAGCCGTGCCGTGCCTCCAGACGGAGCCCTGCGGATAGTGAAGCTCCGGGCATGCAGCCTTGCCGCGCCTCCACACGGAGCCCTGCGGATAGTGAAGCTCTGGAGATGGTTTTCCTTATATTTGGTATTTAAGCATCTTATAAATTGACGCATAACCTAACAGGAAAATGGAATGTATACATTTGAATGTGTACTTAAATATTTCTGAGTGTTAAATGCTAATTTTATAAGAATAAAATTCAGAAGAATGTTTTGAGCAAGCTACACTGGGTAAAAGGTAACATGTAATTTATCCAGGGGAACCCTCAGCATTCATACATGTTGAATGGAAAAGAATGTGATATTCGTCTCTAAGTAGACACAGGAAGGTGGAAATTATTGTTTATTGCTTATAAGACATTGTTTTCTGAAGACGACATCTCAGTGTTCTGTTGCTTAGTAAACCAGCAAACTCCTGGATTTCAGAGAACGTTGGTGCAAACAAAATGGCAAACATATACAGGGGAAATCTCATCTGATATTTACCTGAGCTTTATTGGATTTCTTGAGGTCGCAAAAAAATTTCCTAAGGCTCCATTCTGACAGCTGTCTTAGTAGAAGCCATATTGGGATATTGATACATTGGAGTTCATTGTCAGCAGAGAAATTGAGCTGGAAATATATATTTCTGAATGAGTAGTGGTTATCAGTCAGGAGAGGCTGAGTCATGCTGTGATGATAAACTGCCTCACACTCCACAGGGCTCACCCAGCACTGTGTTTCTCATGTTCCATGTCTGATGCCTGCTGGCGACACCTGCTTGTCATGTTTTCCCTGTGTTCTGTGTCTGGCTCAGGGTGGCAACTCTTGCTGGTCACGGTCCCTCAGGGGCCATCTTGGAAACACATTTTCATGACCACTGGGATAAGAAAATAATGATATGGCAAATTACATACTAACTGACTCTTAAGGCTTTGCCAGCGAGCGACACAGATCACATTCATTGGCCAGAGCAATTAAATGGCCTCGGCCAAGTTCAAGGAGTCAAGGAATTGCACTCCTAGCTTGTGCAGAAGGAGGGAGAACTGGAAATACTTTGTGAGCAGCAACAGCCATGAACAAGATTTCCCAGGGCTTTTACATAGCATATAAAAAAGAGGAACCTTCCAGAACCCAGATGAATACCAATATTTAAGGGATAAGCAGAGGAAGAGAAACCAGGGAAAGAATAATGAATGAAGAACATATTTCAGGGAGTGGTCAGTGGTCAGCAGTGTGCTGGGGACAGGGAAGGTCATTCGGGGTGAGAAATGGAAAAGAGATGAGTTTTATTTAGCTCACGAGGAACTAGTGGTAAAATTAGAATTGATGGTACGTTTATTAGGGTGGGATTCAGATGCAAGCACAGCTGGAGAGCTCTTCCAAGAGTTCAGGGGAGGGAGGGAGTGCTGTGTTGAGGGAGCCAGGTCCAGGGCAGGGTGAGGGAATTCTGAGCATCTTCAGCAGGCAGCCCAAACCGTGGCGGTGGCAGAGGTGGTAAGAAGTGGGCTGACTATACTGGAACGGAAAGGATTTTATTGATTTTGCTTTTTTTCTGGTAAGAAAAATCAATACCACAAAACAGTGTTTTTAGTAAAAGAATAGAGGATCTTATAAATGTATTAATTCTATGGAAGAATAAATTGAGTGGGCATCTAGTAGTAACTTAAACATATGAGGATAAGATTATTTAAAAGAAAATTGTATAGTATTATATGGCCAGCGCAGGAACCATGGCATTACTTATCTGATTTGTAGGAAATATTTCCAGTCGATCAGTGTATCTCTCTTTCTGTCTCCCTCCGCTCTTCTCTTTCTTTGTCCTCCCTCTCCTCCTCTCCTTTTTTCTTTTTCACTCTCTCTGCATTTGTTTCCTATCTTCATTACAGTGTGTATAGGGACCCTGACCATTCACAAGATCGCTTTAAGCTCCTAAGATTGAAAAAAATGCTTCAGTAAAGTCTGATATAAGAAAGATGTTAATCGTAACAACACTTGAGCTAGTGACATTGGTGCAACGTGGTAAAACTTTGAGACAGTTCTTGAAGGGATCAAGAAGGATGAGAGACTAACACTTGAGGCCCTTACATTGTTGAGCAATGTGAGGGACCCAGCTGTTGCTGGCAATCTCAGATCTACAATGCTGCCGGTAAATAGGGTATGGCTGCTCTTAGGCTGATGTTCAGGAGCCTCAAAGCAGAAGCAGAGATGGGCTGCTGGCCTGGTCCAGAGGTACTGGTTGTCAGATGGATGTGTCAGCAGAGAGCCAGGGACAGCAGGTCAAGATGGTGGATGGCAGGTGAGAGGGCTCCTTACGGACAAGGAGTTCTGGCAGCAAAGTAGTTATTGGTGGTAAGATTTGGAGTACAGTGATGAAAATGAGTTGCTGAAGTTTGGAGGCTGTTGCACTAGATTATACAAAATTATAAGCTTGCATATAATATTTTGGAGAGCATCCTTTCCTTCTTACAAATATGTTCTGCTAGGTGAAGTGGCTCATGCCTATAATTCTAACACTTTGGGAGACTGAGGTGGCCAGA